GGTGCTAACGGAAGCAACAATGGCGGTGCTAACGGAAGCAACAACGGCGGTGCTAACGGAAGCAACAATGGCGGTGCTAACGGAGGCAACAACGGCGGTGCTAACGGAGGCAACAATGGTGGTGATAATGGCGACAACAACGACAATGGAGACAACAGCAACAATGGCGACTACAGCGACAATGGCGACTACAGCGACAATGGCAACGGCAATGGCGACGACAACGACAATGGCAATGGAGACAATGACAGCGGAGCTCCCGGTGGTGCTCAACCCGGTCAGACTCCTACTTCCTATCCTGCTTCCCAGGAGACCCCCTGCCCGTCTGATGTCCCTTACTAGAGAGTAGATCAGGTGAATTGTGGAAAGTGGAGAGTATGGGTGGTGGAGACGTGGGAGGGATAATGTCTAGTGAGATAATCAGGACTGTACTGTAGCATTCGACAATTACATCTGCAGGGATAGTATTCAACATTGATTTACCTTGTTTTGCTCTTTCCTGATTTCTGAGCTGACCTACGAATCCGGGTCATCCATACGAATCCCGGATTGTGATCAATACTGACTGGGTTTATTGGGAATCGGCACTGTGAAGAACATGGCGCGTTGGGCATGGTAGTAAGATTCGAAAAGATCCAGGCAACTATCCATGCATATCTATTCAACTACCACAGCGTATCTGGAATGAGTATGCAAGTAACACGATACGCTCTTCTAAATACATAGTTGACATAGCGCTGTAGTGCTACACACGACAAACCCTCACCGACACATCTACATTACCTTTCTAACTGTACACTAGACTACACATCCCAGCTAGTAAACTACACGCCGGACGAAACAAGTAATACTACTCTCCGTACTCTCCGTAAAAGCACCGGTCTAAGATCCTCGGCACTGACTCATGGTCCGTTCGTTTCAAAAAGATTACCTCAGCCCATACGCCGCATCCCCCACTAACCAACACAAATCGTTCAGCCCTGCCACTCAAAAAAACACCAACCAAATATTTAAATCCCCTGATCCTTGCCCTCCCCTATCGCGTATAACTACTCATCCAAACCCTTATCTCGTTTTCCCCCTCATCACCCCCAGAGAAAGAGAAAGACCTCAGAGAAAAAGGAGAGAAGGAAAAAAATTTCAAATACGAACAAAGCATCGTCTGACCCCCCTTCCTCGGACCACGACCGCACAGTCCAACCGCCGCGTCCAGCAAGCATATAGTCCCAAAAAGTTGACTTGCAGCTGCTGGCTCGGGAGCGAAGGCACAGCAGATGGGAGTGGGTCCATCCCCCTTCCATCCAGCCTCGCCTAGCGGTGCGGGCCGAGGGTAAGGCTAGTACCTCATTTGTAGCCGGTGCGTGAGTCTAAAATGCTCTTAAAGGGGGAGCTATTAGCAGCGGTTAGTTTGGGCTGGGTCGGGTGAGTAGTGCTAGGTGTTTTTTTTCCTGCTTTCTTCGGGAAAAGAGAGGGTCAGGTTTTGAGGGAATTGGACTAAGGGGAACTGCTGTTTTGTGGGTGATAAGGATATGGCGATTTCATGTGTCGCTGCGAATGAGGTTATATGGAACGGGGTGACAATTACTACTGTATACATCCCACAGGTCGGAATTGAAAACTAATAAAATTTAAACTTGAAGGTTTCCAAAATTAGAAACCTGAATCTACTAACCTTCCCTTCTACGCCACTATGAACTCCCAACTTCACTATAGCCCACTTGTTTTTGGGAAACAAATAATCCGTTGATTCGTTTGATTTAATCCATGTAAAAACGTAGTAGCGAGAGTATTACTACAGTAAACAAAAATGACGGTTTGGATTAATCGAGTTGATTGTTCCCAAGCGTGTCCTGGTCAACTAAAATACTCAGATAAAGACTACACTCACTAAAACAGCGTAATATCAACGAGGTGTAACTATACACTAGCATTATAGAATATATCTTCTCATAGCGTGCTAGTGCACAGAGTTACGAGTAACTCCGGGCGATACTACTATTATTGCCAGAACTTAAGTATAAGAGTACGGTTTCGTATACAGTAGAAGATTTATCTAATTCAATAAAATTTGAAATCATTCTAGTACATCTCTTAAGCCAGCGATGTTCTTCTACTCTACTGTTGACGTCGCGAAGGTAAAGGTAAAGGTAAAGGTAGCTCGTCTTCTCCATAGTAAGACTCGTGGCTCGACACTGTTACACCCGTTTAGTAGCATATTAGTTTGTTTGTCAAACTCTATTGGTTTTATATACAAACTAGTCGTTATTGTAACTGCGTTGCGGTGAATGCGGCTGATTGCAAGTGGCAGCTTTGTTCTAGTCGCGGCTGTTTTTTTATCCAGGTATTTCGGTTGACCAAGACATGTATGGTTTAATGAGGAGGAAATGCGTCTCGAGGACTATTCTAGAATGTATTTTGAGTATGATGGGAGCACTGGAATCGACATATATCAAAGAATACGGGAAAAGTCCTGTTTTGAGTAATTCTTTGAATTCGTATCGTGCAGGGGCGTGTAGTCATGATACCAAGTATATATTTTTTCGTCATAACATTGAAATTGGCTTTTCCATGGCAATATAGTCTCTAATACATTGCCATCTGTTCGCAAAAGCTGGTGTAGATGATGGTGTAGATGAAAAAGAAAGTACGGTCAAAGACATGATGTCATCACCTCTTCTCGCCATCAGCTAGCTCGACCATCACAAAGATGCCGCTCTAGCAGTTAGCAACCAACAATCTTTCATACCTTATTCTTTTTCGAAGGGGGTTTAAATACACGTGAACTGAAATCATCTTCTGCACAAATGGCAAAGTCATGTACGCTCTGTTCTACACCGCGCCCGGTGCTAGTCCGGTGCCAAATCGACTCGACGGAGAAATGGCATTTCGTATGTCCCGGAGCATGCTGGAAGGCGGTCTCAGGGGGCGTGGAAGATGCAAAAAGTCTCAAAGAAGAGTTTCCGTATTATCGCTACGGCGGCATGGTGAGTGCGGTTCCTATGGTGGACAGAGATGGTTATAGGAGTAGAAATATCGGTGCGACCGAAAGCTGACTCGGAGATACTTTGAGACAGTGGAAGGACAGGAGTGCTGATGGGCCAGTAAGCGCGAAGAAGCCGAAAAAAGTCAAGGAAAGACAGAGGGAGGAGATGAAAGCTAGAGGAGGAAATGGTGGTGCAGAGGGTGAGAAGGTTGATGTTGAGGTGACTGAGGATGGTACTGCATCGGCTTAGAGTGAGCGAAGACCCATTCGATTGGCATTGTGACTGATACTATTTCCTTTCCTCTGTTGGCGAAATGCTCGGGCATGTAGCTGGCCATATCAAAGTTCGGCGATGGTCGGATGCGGTGGTAATAGTTGAAGCAGCAAAGCCAGAGGGGCATGGTGCGGACTAGCTGGCGTGACGCACGACTGCATGTGCCTCTGGCGCAAGAGGTGGGGAAAAGGCAGTTGGTGGTTGGTTTGAGTTTATTGAAAATATCTATTCTTGAGCATGTGCACAGCCCGCTAGGACGAGGAGGAGGGATTTTGGGACATCATGACGACGTTGGACATGTGTTTAGTCGGGACGTCGTGTTGCTATTGATAGATCTTTATGCAGCGGGGCTCTGCTATCGATCCCTTGAGCCCATGCACTTAGTCATTAGCGGGGGGCAGCTATCGCAAGCGCCCGGACCCGCGGCCCCGTTGAGATGGGTCGCATCCTTTCTGCAACGGGCCTGGGATTGGCGATGCAGCGTTTGCTGGAAGAGCGACATGCTGTTGTTGATGTCGATGTTATTGTTGTTGTGCTGCAATTAGTACCAAGGCCAAGGAGGAAGAAGGGTCGGGTAGGGCACAGCAAGCTAGGGTAGGGTGCAGGGTTGGGCCAGGATGCAGACACAGGCTTTGCTGGTGATGCAACATGTACATAGGATGGAAAAGGTCGAGTATAGGCATGTTGGTGATTGCGGTAGGTCCGATGGTTGAGCCAACAGAGTAGTCCAACGTCAGCCACACGGCGGCCTTGGGCGCTACTAAGATGATCAGACGGTCGGGGTACAGGCAGGGTGGCAGCGCAGTAAGGGTCCTGTCGCGTGCGCTGCCAGGGACAGGAGCCAGGAGCTGGTTCCTGAGGGTGTAGACATAGTCAGACGGCTGCTCCTAGTGCAGACGGGAAATGTATTTCGAGAAAGGTGCATGGCCAGGGCGGCATCGTAGACGCGGAGACCAACCGGCGCATCGACTAAGACGACTCTTTGGCTTTGCGAGTGGAATATGAAACAAGATCCGGGACCAGTGATAAAGACGGACGTCCTCTCAGCGCTTGCGGAAACACTCGACAGCAGCCTTCTCGTTCAGTCCCGTGGCATTTCCCCCGCTCGACAGCGCCGCAATCTCTTCGACGTTGTGCACACACACACACACTCTCTCTCTCTCTCTCTCTCACTCTCACACACATTCGCTGGCCTCACTTGTTGCCCGGACGCCCGCTTGCTTGCCTGGTTGCTTTGGTGCCGCTGGGCCACATTGCCGTTGGTCGAGTGCAACTAGTCCACGCGTCAAATGAAGGCTGGAGAGGCGTCAAACGAGCCTCGAACCGCTGAAGATCCGCCCAGAGAGCTTCCCGGCAAGCCTCGCGCGCACGCGCCTAGCCCACCCTCCGCCACAGTCGCCGTCCCGAGCCCCTCCAGCACACTCGACTTTTGAAACCTAAAGGACCCGCAGGCTCTGGCGGTCCCAGCAAGCAGCTCCGACGTCTCCCCGGCTTGGACCTGGAGCTTCTCTCTTGTCCTCTCGCCCCTCTCCCGCCGCCGAAGAAAAAAAAGCCTCCTGAGCAAGGCCTTACCCGAGCCCACTCGCGCCTGCCGCCTGCCGTCAGTCGCGCCCGCACCTGGCATTAGTGACTCGTGGCCGCCAACGTCACTCGTGCCCAGACACGGGCTTCCTCTCACTCGATTCTCACCAGAGCTTCACTCTTTGGCCCCAACGCTTCTATTTCTCTATTCCCTTGTCTCTATCCCTCTCTTTCTCAAGACCCAGCGAACCGCCTGCCTACCTCGGCTGTGTGCAGCGACCCACTCGGCTGGGACCGAATACCCTCAACGTGCACCCTCAACAACACCCACCATACCACCCTGGTCCAAGCTGCCAGCGTCCCTCTTCTGTGGCAGGAAGTCAACGTAGATGCAGTCGTTTAGCAACGGCCCTTCGCCGCAATCACAGCCAAACATGTCGGCCCCCGCGCCCCTCCTTCGCCCGCCCATCCCCGGCGCACGCCCCGGAAGAAGAGGCCCGCCATCTCTCGGTCTCTCCATACCACCCTCGCCAAACCAACGTCCCGTCACAAACGATGCAAACGGAAACTTCACACAGTCGCGTCCACAGCCACCCAAGCTAAACATCATGACTCCCATGGGCTCCAACAATGCGCCGCACGAGGGCAGGCAGGGACCCCGCGGCTTACCACCACTACAAATCGGCCCAGGCCTCTCCGCCTCGGGTTCGGGCTCGAGCGATGCCAGCGCTCATTCGAGGTCTGGTAGCTTCGGCGAAATGCCAGTAACCAGCTCGGCTTCTTCATACCATGCCGCATTGGGCTTTCCAGGCCTGCAGAAAGATCCTATTTCTGCCATATCACAAGGAGGCAGTGAGGGCGCACAATCCATGGAGCGTGTCAACAGCAGTCAGCCATTGCCAGATCTAGACGCCATGGCTGTAGAGAAGGGGCGGCCATTGGAGGTTGACGATCTCGATGATGCGGCATGGCGAGCAGCGAGTGCAAGAGGCCTGATAGAGGAAAAGGGCAGTTTGGGTGAAGGTGCTGGAGGAGCCGTCACCAAGTGCGTACTTAAGGGCGGCAAGACTACATTTGCTCTAAAGGTGCGTCATTTTCATTGTGCTGCACATTGCGTTGCTAACATTTGTTCTAGATCATCACCACGAATCCCGACCCTGACGTGAAGAAGCAAATCGTACGAGAGCTATCCTTTAACAAGAACTGTGCTAGTGACCACATTTGCCGCTATTACGGTGCCTTTATGGACGACAGCACGGGAACTATCAGCATCGCCATGGAGTTTTGCGAGGGTGGTTCGCTAGACGCGGTATATCGCGAAGTCAAAAAGCTTGGAGGCCGAACAGGCGAGAAGGTACTAGGCAAGGTTGCTGAAGGTGTGCTGAATGGCTTGACATATCTCCACTCTCACCGCATCATCCATCGAGACATCAAGCCCAGCAACATTCTACTATGTCGGAATGGGCAAGTCAAACTATGTGACTTTGGTGTATCTGGAGAGTTTGGAACAAAAGGTGATGCCAATACCTTCATTGGAACATCATACTACATGGCACCAGAGCGCATTACCGGACAGAGCTACACCATCACCAGTGACGTGTGGAGCTTAGGCGTGACTCTTCTTGAGGTCGCTCAGCATCGATTCCCCTTCCCAGCAGATGGCACGGAGATGAACCCTCGTGCTGGTCTAATCGATCTGCTCACGTACATTGTGCGGCAGCCCATCCCCAAGCTAAAGGACGA